GTAACAGGAAGAGTGCTGACACACTGCAGGAATTGCAACGAACGTCATGGAACAATTTGAGTATGAACTATTGAATGGGAAACTAATTTGCTCCCTAAACCTTCATCTAAAGCGCGCGCGCACACACACACACACGAAAAAAAAATCATCTATATGAGACCATATAGTCAACAATTACTCTAAAGCAAACATGAGAAGATAAATAGGCAGGGAAATTACAGTGCAGGAAACAGGACAACCAGAACAGAAATAATGAGAATGTTGACACATTTGTCAAAAATACAGCCAATGTCACTGAACAATTTGTGTAGAAATTGTTAAATGGGAACATAATCTGCTGTGTAAACTTCCACAGAAAACACAAACATTACTGAAAAAATCCAAAATGCTGCACTCAATTGTTTCTACAAATAATTAACTTTTCGTAGAAACTAATTTCAAACTCGTGGAAATATTTATGCTCAGATTAAGCACTACTATACAATAGGACATTTGTTTCATATCCTGAAACTGAGGAGGAAAGGAAGAATTTGGGGAAAAAAGCGATTAAAATATTAACTTGCCTTGAATTTAAACTAAATTTAAAAAAATTTTTCTAGGAAACAACTAAATTTTCACTTAAGTTTGTCTACTATGCTCAAATAGGTAAAAACAAAAAACCAAACCTGTCGCCTTCAAGTTGATTCCGACTCACAGCAACTCTACAGGACAGAGTAGAACTACCCCATAGGGTTTCCAAGGAACAGCTGGTGGATTTGAACTGCCAACCTTTTGGTGAGCAGCCAAGCTTTTAACCACTGAACCAAACAGGCAAAGGACTACAAAAAATTTAAAATTTTGCTATGGGTAAAAATTCCCTATTATTAGATTAGCTGGAAGAGGTGAGAAGCTATGAATATGACCACTAAACATGCTTGAAAATGCATTTAAGATAAAAGTTAAATCAAAATATCTCTTTCCTTGCTGGGAGAAACATTTTAAAGTCTTTTTTTCTTTTCTAAAAAAATGCTCAGAATGCATCTCCATGCATTCAGAACTGAGGCTGGATAAACTGAAAAAAATGTAATCCTATGCTATTCTTTATATTAATTAAGCTTTGCTTCCTTTATAGTTCTTCATTAAAAACTTAAAAGGAATATATTTTTACTTCAAAATTATTTGAATCAACCGAGGACTGAGTAATTACTCAGAATAAAAATCATTATTTGGGTCCTTTATTCTTTATTACGGAAAAAACCAAACCAAATCCATTGCCAAAAAGTTGATTCCAACTCATAGCAACCCTATAGGACAGAGTAGAACTGCCCTATAGGGTTTCCAAGGAGCAGATGGTGAATTCGAACTGCCAACATTTTGGTTAGCAGCCAAGCTCTTTAACCATTGCACCACCAGGGCTCCTTTTCTTAGGGAAGGCTCCTGAAAGATTTCTAAACAAGTGTTCTTAAAAATTCCAGTGAAAGAAACAATTTACAAGGCCAACTCCTCAGACAAAGATTGGACTGGACTGTGGGACACAAAATGATACCCATGAAGAGTGTGCTTCTTAGCTCAAGTAGATACATGAGACTAAACGGGCAGCTTCTGTCCAGAGGTGAGATGAGAAGGCAGAGAGGGTTAAGAGCTGATTGAATGGACATGGGAAATCAGGGGTGGAAAGGAGGAGTGTGCTGTCACAGTACAGGGAGAGCAATTAGGGTCACATAACAATGTATGTATAAATTTTTGTATGGGAGACTAACTGGAAATGTAAACTTTCACTTAAACTACAATGATAAACAAAAATTCCAGTGAAAACATTATTTGGTAGCCAACATGCCAAATCAACAGCTGAAAGTTTCATCTTTAAAATCCACTAACTATAAGATATTTTTGCTAGTTATCCCCATTGATAGCTACCACTGCGACTATCAATATTTTACTCCCAATGTCTATATATTCATAGATATTCAAGTACAGTATTATCTAAATATTTGCACGAATAAGACTCTTAAACCAAGGGTAGTGGGGAGTGGTAAGAACAAACGAAAATCTTCAGTGAAATTCTCCAATATGTTTTTACATATTATAACTGCAGAAGATTGGAACGATCAAGGCTGAACCTATTTTAATCTAAATCACCATCTTCCTTAAACCTTTTCATTTTGTCTTCTTTCTTTGGGAACACATGCCTCTCAGGTATGAGTTAGCAAGATTTGGCATAACTGATACACCTATCTAAGTCAACTAGAATCAGCAGTATTCTGATAATTGTATAATTCTTTATGATGTAGAAGTAACAGCTTTTCAAAACAATCTGAGTAGTTATTTTGTTTGATATTGCTAGTTTCCGTAAAGCAGGGGAGTGGGGAGTATAGATTTTTTAAAGTCCCCTAAATGTAATAATTGGAGGTCTTGGGTACTAAACAGAGACCTGAATCACATTTAAATAAAGTCAACAGTCTTGAGAGATATCTCACCACCTTGCTTCAGGAATCATAAAAGAGGAAAAAGTCTAAATGTGGGGAAAGGCAGAGAATAGAAGGCTAAGACGAAAAGCACCTTCTTTGTTTTTCTCCCTTCCTCCCTCCCTTCATTCTCTTCTTACTTCTCCTCTGCTCATTTGAATTGTCCATATTCATTAGAAGATGTACTGTTTTAAAAACATGCATCCCAGAGATAGACACAGCTCATAATACTACACATCTATCTCACAGGGCTGTGGTGAGAATTAAATGAATACATGTAAAGTGCTTCAAATAGTGTCTGGCACACAGCAAACTCTCAATCAAGTGTTAGTTAGTATTACTTTACCATGTCCCTCTCTGGCTTGCTCCATGTGTCCTGGAAAGCAGAGAATAAGTAAGAGATGAAACAGAAAAGTCCCTCCCTTTCATGCTTATGCACCAGAACCTACACAAGTCCATCTCTTTAGGAGGAGAGGGATGGAAATCTAGACCTAGTCCTTTGGGTTCTTCATAAAAAACAAGTCCCATGGTGCCAAGCATAAAAGGATGATCAGGATTTTCTCAGGATCCAAAAAGCCTGGTTAGCCATTGTTTCTAACCCTTAGCAGATCTGAAAAATTACTATGAGTTAAAATATAGACTTAGAGGGGAAATCCCACTCACATCAGGAAAAAAAAGCAGATCAGTCAGAAATTGGAAATTGGAGGCACATGACAGATTAGTGGGGTTAAGACTGACCAAGGAAGCCAACGTTAAGACAATTCAGGAAAATACTACACAGACAGCAGCTACAGCAATACCAGTAGGGTGGGAAAGCAGACCAACAGCTTGGAGATCACCCTGTCCAGAGCTTCACACTCCTTTCTGATTTGGTATGTGAGCTTACTCATCCTGGCCCTAGAGGACACCTCTAACGAATGCTGGATTGACCTAGAAGCGATGTCTAAATGACGAGTGTTGGATTTGAGTGTTTCATGCGCTTTTCTTTTTTTTTAATGTGAAAGCAAGCACAACAGAATTTATTTCAAATGTAATATGAACATATTGCCAATATAAATTATTTACAATCTCACTGTTCCTAAAAATAAACAGGCTTCAGAAAACTTTCTTAGTAAAGCAGGGTCTTTTTAAAAATAGTTAAAGCAAACAAGAGATAAACACCTGGTAATCTTCTATCCCATCCTCAGAGGTTCAGCAACATACTGCAATCTCTCCTAAGCCTCATCAGTATCTGTTGCCAAGGGGCTATGTACAGAAGAGAAAGGCCTGCCTCAGTGGAGAAGTTTACCTCTGTGAATAGGACAAATAGATTCACTAAGCCTCTTATCCTCTCTGGGATGTAAAAACTCTTATATCTTCATTCACATTTAACTGATCTTTACACTGTACAATTCAAGTTCTTTCTTTCTGTAATGGTTCAAAGCATAATAGTTAGAAAGGACAAAAAAAAAAAAAACAAAACTTGAAGGGGTCAACATAGTTCTTGCAAGCGAATATATGATTCTACTCGAAGCCACAGATCTTTTAAGTGAATTGCTCAGAACCTGAGCCTTAAAGTAATTTGGCCAAGTGTATGTTTGGGCTTGCCACACCATTTGTACGTGTCAAGGGTTGGGAGTGTAAGACAGGCCCAGATAAGTTAAATTTTGGAACAGCTCGAGTACAGATACTAGTAGCGAGGTATTATCATATATTGGATACTATTTCTGGTTTGTGATAATTCCAAATTCATAATTTTAAACAGTATATACTGATTACTACAAATAAAGTGCTAAATCTTCTAGCTCCCTGATTTTGTAACCCATAAGCTCTAGCATATTGCTATCTTTGTATTCCATCTTCAACCACAATTAAGCCCAAAAGGTCTTATATATTTAATCCTACTGGATGACAAACACAGTGGCTTCAACTCTCCCATACTTTCTAATAAAATACAGTATTTTCTATACTGTGTTAGAGTCAACCAGTTCAGATCTCAGCTCCCTAAGAAGAGGATTATTCCATTAAATACTGCAAAGAAAATGTTAGTCTCCGTTTCTATTTTTCAAATCTTCTGAAAGAATGCAATAAATTTTGTTCAAGGAATGAATGACTGAATATAGGATTTAGACTAGCTATTGTAATTTACCAGGTAGCATTTCATCCTGTTATACATTCTGTTGCTATGAGTCGGAATCGACTCGACAGCACTTAACAACAACACTGCAATTCACAGAACACAATGAAATACCCAAAGAAGTAACACAAACAGCATTCTATTTAGTTTATGCAAGCTGATGGCGTGTGTGTGTATATGTACACACACACATATACATACATATATACTCTTTATAATCAAGTAACAGTAAAAACAAAATTTAGATTATGACTGCATAAAAACATCTGACATGAAATATCAGAGATAATTAATATGCAACCAAGAATAGAGAAAAAGCACTCTATATTTCACTGGTGTTTAACAAAATTTTCTGTGTATACTCAAGGAAAGAATTTATATAATATAATCAAGTATTAATACCAAACACAAACTGAAATAGCAAAATATGTATATACCACCTGAACATCTTTGTATTTGTCCTGAAAGTCCAAGAGTCGGTGGTAAGCTTTAATGGCTTCTGAGAACTCCCCGACATCTGTGCTGGTGAGGATGTAGTTTTCCCAGATCTGCCAGTGTTCATAGTTGCACTTGAGCGCTTCTTGTAAAGTTCTAAAAGCTTTTACTCTATTAAAAGTAAAATTTTAAAGACAGCAACAATGAGCTCTTTTTATTTAAAAAAAAAAAAAAGAGTTAAATGTATAAAATGTTAATGTAGACTGCCTATCAGTCCTTAATCATTCTTGTTAACAAACAGAATTAGAGGACCAAACAACCCAAAACCATCTAAAATTGTCCTATAAAATTCAGTAACAGATCCTGTAGCATACATAGCCTAATCAACTTACTGGTAACAGGACATTATTTTATGTGTGAGTTATCATTCACAGTCTAAACCACTCTGAATCTTCTCAAAATATTTCCTATTCTCAAATTATCATTTACTCTCTCAGCAACTATCCATAAATTTTTTCATTCAGCTTCAGTCCAGATAATATTTTGACATTAGTTTTAATTGAGTTCAAGAACTGTAGGAAACACTGAAGTTCAGGTTGGCTTAATTTGTATTTGGTTCACTATTTAGTTTGTATTTTGGTTTGTGTTTGGTTCACTATATAGTTTCTTATGTTTAACGGCATGTCATCAAACTGGTAGGAAGTTTGGGCTGTTCTAAACCCAAAACTGGGCCACAGGGTTGGATGAATAGAATACTCATAGGGACAAGACAAATGAATATTTAAAATTAATGCTTTTTAAAAATTTTTGTACAAAATATTCACAATCACAGTAAGTGATTAGGTAGGAGGGTGTGAAGGTGAGAGGAACTGTTTTATTTCTAACCTCTTAGAGGAATTTTCTTGTTAGGCTAGAAACATCATTTCACATTTCAAAAGCCTCATTCTTAATCTTAAATAAATCAAAAAGTTCCACTTTGTTAAATTGAGAGTTTAAACAAATAAAGCCAAGTATAGAATAGTATTTTGTTACATAAAAGATCTGTCTCTGTGTCCCCTATGACCACTGGTTCCTGAGAAGACTGTTCTCTCGCCTATCTTATCCTCTCCACGTGCAAAGTTACAGTCCCACCTCTCTTGCTCTTAACAATGAGCGGCTATTAAAGTATCCATTGAGGAAAAAAGGAAAAAGAAAATGAGTACGGGGGAAGAACAAGCTTTTATTCAACCAAATCATCAGATATTTGCTTTTAATTAAGATGAAAAAAAAAAAGGATGAAGGACAAAAGTCATTTTGAAATAAAAACTAAACCAAAACAAAAGGAAAGAATTAAACCTATCAGATTTGTGATTATGCAATTACGTAAATGTGCAAGATTGTAAGAAATAAAATAGTTAAGGCTGTATATCAAATGTAGGAGTGGCAGATGGAACAACAACAAATATGGTAATCAAAATTTTCAAAAAGTAAAAGGTAAGACCAACTTGATAAGGGGAAACAAGGAAAATGGTCTATTACTAAGACAAGCACTAGAAACAGAAGGTAATTAAGATCAAGAGATGTTTCATAAAACAAATAAGTATCAAGTATACAGGAAATTAACAGACGTATATATACCAAACAGATGCAACACTGGAGGTGCTCACTTGTCTACGCCAAGAAAACTGGAAGACAGCTACCTGGCCAACCAAACAGAAGAGATCCATGTTTGTGTCCGTTCCAAAGGAAGATGGTTCAACAGAACGTGGAAATTATTGAATAATTTCATTACTATCACATGTAAGTAACATTGTGCTGAAGCTTATTCCAAAGTGTTTGCAGCAGTACATCACTAGAGAGCTGCCAAAGTAAAGTATTATAATGACATGTGCAAAGACCTGGAGTTAGAAAACCAAAAGGGAAGAACATGCTCAGTATTTCTCAAGCTGAAAGAACTTCAGAAAAAATTCAAGCTTCAAGTTCCAAGAGTGAAGGATTTTATGGGCAAAACACTGAAGGAGGCAGGATGCATCAAAAGAAGATGGAATGAATACACACTCACTGTACCAAAAAGAACTGGTCTACGTTCAATCATAAGAACGATCATGAGAATGGTGCGGGAATGGGCAACATTTTGTTCTGTTGTACACAGGGTTGCTATGATTTGGAAGTGACTCAACGGCACCTAACAACAACAATCATCTTTGGCTGAAGGGTGAACTACAGGAGTGGCTTCAGTTCTGAGTTAAAAGGGTGTCTGGGGGCCATAGTCTCGGGGGTTCTTCCAGTCTTATCAGTAAGTGCTTCAAGTCCTTTTCACTCTCTTCAAGCAAGGTGTGTCATCTTTAATGCAGATAGTTAATGAATCTTCCTCTGAATCTTCCTCCAATTCTGAAGACTCGTTCTTCTTCATATAGTCCAGTTTCTCAGATTATTTACTCAGTGTACAGATTGAATAAGTATGGTGAAAGGATACAACCTTGACACACACCTTGCCTGACTAAACCACGCAGTATCCCCTTGTTCTGTTCGAATGACTGCCTCTTGATCTATGTACAGGTTCCTCATGAGAACAATTGAGTGTTCTAGAATCCCCATTTTTCTCAGTGTTATCCATTACTTGTAACGATCCACGTAGTTGAATGTCATTGCATAGTCAATAAAACACAAGTAACCATCTTTCTGGTGTTGTCTGCTTTCAGCCAGGATCCATCTGGCATCAACAATGATATCCCTTGTTCCACACCCTCTTCTGAATCCAGCCTGAATTTCTGGCAGTTCCCTGTCAATTTACTGTTGTAATCACTTTTGAATGATCTTCAGCAAAATTTTACTTATGTGTGATACTAATGATGTTCAATAATTTCCGCGTTCAGGAGGTTTACACGTCAACATAAAGAAAACAATATCCTCACAATTGGATCAATAAGCAACATCATGATAAACAGAAAAGACTGAAGTTGTCAACGATTTCATTTTACTTGGATCCACGATCAACACCCATGGAAGCAGCAGTCAAGAAATCAAACGACATATTGCATTGGGCAAATCTGCTGTAAAGGACCTCTTTAACGGGTTAAAAAGCAAAGATGTCACCTTGAAGACTGAGGTGCGCCTGACCCAAGCCATATTGTTTTCTATCATGGCTTGGGTTTTCTATGCCTCATAAGCATGTGAAAGCTGGGCAATGAACAAGGAAGACCTAAGAAGAATTGATGCCTTTGAATTATGGAGTGGGCAAAGAATATTGACTACACTATGGACTGCCAAAAGAACGAACACATACGTCTTGGAAGAAGTACAGCCAGGATTCTCCTTAGAAGCAAGGATAGCGAGACTCTGTCTCACATACTTTGGACATGTTATTAGGAGGGACTAGTCCCTAAAGAAGAACATCTTGCTTGGTAGAGGGTCAGCGAAAAAGAGGAAGACCCTCAATGAGATAGACTGACACAGTGGCTACAACAATGGTCTCAAGCACCAGTCTCTGTCAGACCAGTAAGTCTGGACTTTTTTCTGTGAGTGTGAATTCTGTTCTCCATTTTTCTCCCACTGTGTCCGGGACCCTCTACTGTGATCCCTGTCAGAGCAGTGGATGGTAGTAGACGGTGCCATCTAGTTCTTCTGGGCTTAGGCTGGTGGAGGCTGTGGTACGTGTGGTCTATTAGTCCTTTGGACTAGTATTTCTCTTCTGTCTTTGGTTTTCCTTCACTCTCCTTTGATCCAGACAATATGTATCTTAGGCGGCCACTTGAAAGCTTTGAAGACCCCAGAAGCTACTCACCAAAGCTGGATGTAGAATACTTTATGAACTTTGTTATGCCAACTGACCCTGAACCATGGTCCTCAGCCCTCTACCAGTAACTTAGTCCCTCAGGGAGTTTTGATGTGTCTATAAAGCGTCTGTAACTTTGCCTTGGTCAAGTTGTGCTGACTTCCCCTATATTGTGTACTGTCTCCCCCTTCATCAAAGTTAACACTTACCTACTATCTAATGATTTCCCTCCCCAACTCTCTCAAAACTATCAAAGATTGTTTCTCTCTGTCTGCAAACTTTTTCTTGGCTTTTTATAACAGCAGTCTTGTACAGTATTTGCCCTTTTGTGATTGACTTATTTCACTCAGCATAATGCCCTCCAGATTCATCCATGTTGTGAGATATTTCATAAATTCATTACAGTTCTTTATTCCATTGTGTGTATATACCATAATTTCTTTATCCATTCATCTACTGATGGGCACCTAGGTTGTTTCCATCTTTTTGCTATTGTGAACAATGCTGCAATGAACATGGGTGTGCATATGTCTATTCCTGTGACAGCTCTTATTTCTCTAGGATATATTCCGAGGAGTGGGACTGCTGGATCGTATGTATTTCTAGCTTTTTAAGGAAGGATCATATTGTTTTCCATATTGGTTATACCATTTTACATTCTCATCAGCAGTGCATAAGAATTCCAATCTTCCCGCAACCTTTCCAATACTTGTTATTTTCTGGGTTTTTTTTTTTTTTTTATTAGTGCCAGCATAGTTGGGGTGAGACGGTGTCTCAATGTAGTTTGAATCTGCATTTCTCTAATGGCTAATGATCGTGAGCATTTCCTCATGTGTCTATTAGCTGCCTGGATGTGTTCTTTGGTGAAGTGTCTGTTCATATTCTTTGTCCATTTGTTAACTGGGTTATTTTTCCTTTCATTGTTGAGCTGTTGCAATATCTTATAGATTTTAGAGATTAGATCCTTGTCGGATATGTCGTAGCCAGAAATTTTTTCCCAGTCTGTAGGTTCTGTTTTTACTCATTTGGTGAGGTCTTTTGATGAGCATTAGTGTTTAATTTTTAGGAGCTACCAGTTATTTAGTTTCTCTTCTGGTGTTTGTGCATTGTTAGTTATTGTTTGTATCCTATTTGTGCCGTATATTAGGATCCCTAGCATTGTTCTTATTTTTTCTTCCATGATCTTTATAGTTTTAGGTTTTATATTTAGGTCTTTGATCCAATTTAAATTAGTTTTTGTGTATGGTGTGAGGCATGGGTCCTGTATCTTTTTTTTAAGATGGACATTCAGTTTTGCAAGCATCATTTGTTACACTGTTTTTCCCCCATTTAATGGAGTTTGAGCCTTTGTCAAAGACCAGCTGACCATAGGTGGATGGATTTACGCCAGGGTCATTAATTCTGTTCCATTGGTCTA